TATGAACTGTGCTGTTGTATACGAACTCAACCTGATGAAGTGCAAGATCCCATTGTTTGGGCTTACTTATATCCACAAATGCTTCGAACCATATTTCCAAGAGTACGGTTAGTGACTTCGGCCTATCCATCAGTCTAGGGATGGACAGTGTTGCTTCGATTCAAGTTTGAACCAAGCAACATCCACAATATAATCCAAAAGTACCTCAAAAACTTTGTATCCCGATCTAATGTAACAGACTTGGGAACTCTATGCAATCGAACAACCTCTCTGAAAAACAAATTAGCAATATTCGATGCGTCTAAGGTCTTTCGACAAGCTATGAGGCTATTTTGAAGAACCTGTCAACTATCACAAAAACAGAATCAACAACCCTCTGAGTATGAGGTAATTTCAAAGCGAAATCCATAGCAAGATCTTGTCATATGTCCTACGGAACAAAAAGGTAGCATGTACAAATCGGTATTCTACACTTGACCTTTGACACTTGACAAGCATAACATTTTCTTACTGCAATGCCAACAGCTGGCTTCAAATGTGGCTAATAATACCTGGCTTCCAAACTAGTTATTATTTTGTCACACCCCAAATATCCACTTAGACCTCCTCCATGTAGATCTTGAATAAGCTTTTCACGTAAAGATGAAATTTGCTAATATAGAAATTTACCACTGATGCATGATTCACACACTTGGTCCAAATTTCCTATGAATAATAATCATATGTATATAGTTTCTTCAAACACTCAAATCCAACAATCTTCTGTGAAAACGTGACCAGAAAAGAGGCTCTCCGACTTAGGGCATCAGCAACTCTATTCGAACTTCTAGTTTTATGTTTAATCACAAAAGAAAATTTTTGGAAGAAAGTCATCCACCAGCATGCATCTTGATGATATATTTCTGTCGTAAATAAGTATCAAAGCTTGGTGATCAGTGATCAACACAAATTTATTCTGTACAAGGTAATGATCCCATTTCTTCAAAGCCCTCATAACCTTGTAGAATTATTGTTCATAAGTACTTCACTTTTGCCTTGCATCACTTAACTTTTCTGAAAAGAAAGCAATTCGTCTTTTCTCTTGGGAAAAGATAGCTCCAATACCCACACTACTAGCATTACACTCCACTTCAAAAATCTTCTTGAAGCTTGGTGTTAATACTGGAGCTGTGCACAACTTCTCCTTGATAAAGGCGAAGCTCTTATCTTATTTTTCTCCCTAACTGAATCTTCCACTCTTCAAACATTCTATGAGTAGTGCCACAGTAGTGCTAAAATGCCTAATAAATCACCTATCAAAAGTTGTCAAATCGTGAAAACTCTTTACTTCAAAAAGTGTTGTTGGTGTTAGCTAATCCTGAATTGCTCGTCTTCTTTCCATCCACCTATAAACCATCTTCACCAACCACAAAGCCTAGAAACAAAAACTTATGTGTACAGAAAGTATACTTTTTCAGGTTGAAGTACAATTGATTATCCTATAGAACATCTAGGAATTACCTCATTTGTACCAAGTGATCTTCCTTAGACTTGCTATAAATGAGTATATCATTAAAATAAACTACAATAAAGACCCAATGAAAAGACGAAGAACCTGGTTCATCACTCTCATGAAGGTACTTGGTGCTTTGAGATTGAGAGTCCGAGTAGCATCATAAACCATTCCTAAAGTCCATCTTTACTCTTAAAGGCAGTCTTCCATTTTTCCCCATGTTTGATACGAATTTGATGGTAGGTAGCCACTGCGAAGGTCTATTTTCGAAAAAATCCTAGAACCCCCAAGCATATCTAACATATCCTAAACCACGTTATGAAAAACCTGTATTCACTATTATCTTATTGATGACACGACTATCAACACACATCCCACTTTCAATCCTTCTTCGACACTAATAGAGTACATATACAACACTCGAACTCATACTCTCCTTTATTAATCCTCTTCTCAACAGCTCCTCGATTTGTTCTCTCATAATCTCACACCTTTAGACTCATTTAGTAATGAGACAAATTTGGAATATTATCCCTTAGCACCAAATTAATATGGTGTTGAATATTCCTCATAGGAGGTAAATCATTTAGCAGTTCATCAAAAACCAAATCTTCAAATTCTGTCAATATTTTTTGCACTTCAGATGGAACATTCCCGGCTTCATTGTTTGCCATAAAAGCACCTTAATATCTTTTAGGTAAAAGCAATTAGATTCTCTTACAAGATCTACAATATCCTTCTCATTACTTTTAAGGGCAAGAGAACTCTAGCTCGTTGGGTAGAATTATCTGTCTGCTTGCTAGGAACCATGACAATCTTATGAGGGCCCCATGTAAAGAGCACCACATTATAACGCCCTTTGAGAGTTGAATCCACATCAAACTATCATGTCTATAACAACACATACAATCTTATCCTTATAATGCTTACTAATGAAAATAAGTGATATGCAAGTCTCAGTAACTTGAACAGAATGATCTCTTTTCACCCAACTAATGGAATAAGGCTTAAGATGATTCTCGGTAATTTTAACAAATTCACCAACCTCTTCAATATGGAGTTCTCGTAGCTTTTGTCGTTCACAATCACTTCACACACTTTATTCTTGATAAAACAAAGCAAACGAAAGATGCAGTGACGTTGCCCTTCTCCTTGGTGACAAAATGATTAGCTGCATTACTAAAGTGAGCCTTTCTACACCTTTCTCAATAGCGAACTCAACTCCTACATATTCACCGCTACCTCAGTGTCTTCTTCCTCGTCTACTGCCTCTAGATTCACCAAATTGACTGGCCTTCTTTTTGGAAAGGTATTGGAACGATGATAAGGCTTGTGGCATCTATAACAAATATCTCTTGTATTCTTAGCAACGAATTTGCATTCTTAGGTATGTCTCGAGTTTGGGTTCTATTTCCAAACTAACAACTATTGTCAACATTACTCCTGTAAGAGTTGGCTGAATGCGAGGACATTTCCTTTGTTCAAAGGAATGGACGATGATAGTTTGATAGGTGAAGAAACTCTACTATAAAAGATCGCTCTTTTATCAGATTCCATCATCTCGGCCTTCATCGTCATGTTAATGACTTCCTGCAACATCCAAATATTCTGCGACCCAATTCTATCTTGAATGACCACAGCTATCCTTTAATTTTCAAATTCTGATAGGTTGTTCCGCTCTGTCAACTGCATAAATTCATTGGTGCAGTCAGTTACTTTACGATTACCCAGCGTGCATTCTAGGTACATGGCTACATGTAATACAAAATATGTTCATAATCTATGGGTAAAAATCCATTTAACATAGATTGCTTCATCCTTCTCCAATTTCTAATTCAACTATTTCCTTGTCTCCTTCGAGCATTCTATAATTGATCCCACTGGACTGCTGGCGTAGACTTCAAACGAAATGCCACCATCTTATCCTCCGAAACATCCATAATTTTGAAAAATCATTCAATCTCTACCTACCAATTTGAAAAGACATCATATTACTAAAGAACGGGGAATGTCAGATTAATCTGATAATCATCAAAGGTATTTCAATTTTGATGATTGTAGTTACGGGGTGGTGCTTCAAACTCCTTCTCAGCCTTCGATTCACTTTCTTCTATTGCAAGTATCTTGTTATTTCTTCTCCGAACTATAGGTTTAGTAATTTGGTCATTGTTGATTTCATTATTGCCAAGTTGGTCATTCTGTCCATTGTTTCCAACATCTTTTAATAACAATTGACGGATCTCTCCAATCTAAGTAATAAGATCATCATTCCGTTAATTTTAACATCCACATCTACCCTAGTGGTGGTTGGTATGGCACCCATGGATATAAAACAAAATTTACAGATACAAAAATTGGCTCCAATATCACTAGATGCATCGCGAAACAAAGAATTCAAGCGAAAATTTAATAACACAATTTATCCACCAAATTATGAAAGATAAAATCACGAAGTTTATTAATATCAATATATCAAAAAACAGAGAATTAAAGGGTTTTAAATGAAAACATAGTCTAAAGGAATTAAAATTGCAAAGAATTCGACATAAATTAAATGACAAAAAACAACATTAAAACTCCAAAAATAGTTTTCAAGTCCTAAACGAATTTGGATGGCTAAAATCCACTATACATCAAAGCAAAGCGGTGAATTCAATTTGTCTTGTCGTCCTCTTTTCAAAAAGGTATTATGAGTCCAAATCTGAGCTCAAAAGCCCAATCTGCAATTTCCAATTTTTCCCTTTTCGATCCAACCATTCCTCAATCCATTCTACCATCTATTCTACATCACTTCATTGAAAAGAATTGAAAAGAACGGAGCAGTGCCAAATCAATGAGCCATTGGAGCTTAATTTGTGCTTGGTTTTGGACAATGAGTTTGAAAGGAGAACCCATTTGGTAAATAAAACTGAGGAAACGATACAGATGAAATTGGAAACAAGAGTAGACAAGAATTCCAATAACTGAAGGGCCATGGACTCCTGAAGAAGATAGGTATTTTGTTTTCGTCTTTTCCTATTATTTTTATACAACAATTCTTTTATTACATATATTAAAATCCAGAGTTTTCGACAAGAAATTTTACAACTAATGATTTCCTACGAAGCTTGAGCAATAGTTTACCTTGAGACTCAAGAATGGAATTTGGTTACTGTTCTAGAAACATTTTAAAGAGAAGACGGAGCAATTATTTGGATTCAAGGTGAAATCTTTATCTATGTTTAATCTAGTGTATGGATGTGTGACTCACTTAAACGATCTAATGTCCAATTAAATATATGGATATGTGATCCTCTTAATTTCTTAAGACCAATTAAATGTCACATCATATGACGATCATTGAGCTAAAGGTTATGCTTGGTGTACATAATTTGAGTATATAAAGATGTCTACACCCCTCACATGAGGTGGGACCCGTGCAAGGTGGGCCCCACCCCATGTGAGGGGTGTGGACATCCCTGTATATATATTTTATGTACACCAAGACTAATACTTGAGATAAATAATATAAATCTAATTAAGGTCACCTCTTTCTTGCAAGAAAAAAGTTAATATCTCCATATTTTCTGTGCCGAGCATACATCTGAAAAGAAATGGTTTCCATTTTGGCAAATAAATCACCTATCTTTTCCAATTATAACAAGAATTACCACAAAGAAAATTGATACACATCTCAGGGAACCTTTCCAATGATACGGCAACTTTTTGAATAGCTCTTTCACTGGTAGATCATAAGAAGCACTTGATATTGGATCACGGGCAAAATTGATATGACTGAGGGAACCATTTGGACAACACCAGATGTTTTATCTTTACCAGCAATACAAAGATTGCATAACATGGGATATGCATTAGCGCCACCAGCAAATACCTGCTCATCGAAGTGTATTAAGTGAATATTAGATATGAATAGATGGCATACAAATTTTTTTTTTTAACTTATTTTCTTTCTTAGCCCTGTTAAGGGCCAACCAATCGAGCTGACCAAACATCTGCAAGAGATCAAATTTGATCCAGTGTAACTATGACTACAAAGAAGATATAGTGAGACAGGCTGCGAGTGGAACCCCTTTAACACTATTTCCTATACTAAAAGAATGCTAAATGAAAGAAAGCTGTTGAATTATTAATACTGACTCAAAGTTGTGGAAAAATAAATTATGCGTAGCAAATATGGGTACCGCCATGCACAAAAGAGCTTCCTTGTAGAACTTCTCATTCAAGGACTATATGGAAATCAATATCTGTATCCATAAATGCCTAGATGCTAATAAACTTACCAAAAAGGAGCATATTCAAATGACAAGTCAAGGATTGGGTACGGCCACCTGAAACCAGGAAAATACCCAATGAAACATGAAATAAAATGCTACCAATGTAAATAAATAGAAGAGAAACGGACGTTACCAAATTGATTCACATGCATGAAGAATCCATTGGAAGATGACATAAATAGCCGTCAACCAAACAAAGAAAGAGATTCGGTACCAAGGGAACCCCTAAGAAGAAGATTTTACGAATATTTCAACAATCCCAATAAATGGAAATTAATAGAAAAAATAAATAATACGTGAAAAATGTACAAACATGGAGCGGTAGCTTACCAAGCTGTTTAAAGCTGTATCCCCTAGGAGTAAGATAGCATTAAGTGAATGTGCTACAACCGTCAACTGGCCAAAAAGCGAATATATTTCTTAAATTTGACAGCAAAAAACAATCAACAAAAACAGGAATGAAATACATGAAATGATTATATGAATTTTTCGAATTAAAAGCGCCGTGTGGCTGAAAGAAGCTAGCATCCTTCGCATCCATGAGTCCATGACTATAGAACGCAAGAATTGATGAGTGGAAATAGACTGGAATGTAAAATGCTATATTTTATTTCATTTATGCTTGGAATGAGTTTAACTTTCATTAGTTATTAGTGAAAAGTTAACATTCAAAAGATGGTTGGGGTGCCAAAAGTTCATCGAAAAGAAACTGGTAAAGTTAAGGGTCCTCCCATACATGTTTTACCCAAAAGAAACAGTTTAAACACAATAATAATACCACACATTCATAAAATATCGTGCATGAGCCTATAATCATAAAACAAACAATGAATGCTGCGAGGTGAAATCTTTAATGCTTTGATGCTACATTAGATCCTAGGGAGGTTGCAACAGAATGGTGCCGTGCAATTCCCATTCAGAAATATATGCACTGCCTGGCCCAAGTTGCAAGTTGCCGAGACAAAGCATAAACAAGGTATATAATGTGAAAGAAAAGGATCCTTCAACCATTACCCTCTCATTCTCTCACTACCAAGGCATGAGCAGATAAGGAAAAATAAAAAAAATAAAGAAGCGAATGCATTTATGTGCACACACGACTATAACCTGGAAAAGTGGATTTTCAGTTCTTGAGACATTGATACAGAATATCGTTAAAGTACTTTCAGAAATTGCTCCTTTTGACATTAAATTGTCAAAGATAAGGATTTGTTATGGCTTTTTGGAAACTATATTGTGGACCCACTGGTCCCCAAATTACAAGGAAAAAGAAAAAAAGATTATCTTGCTCTCATAAATCTGGAGCCAATTATGTGACAGGAGAATTGATTAGTAGCAAACTTTTGGAGTGTAAGATCTGTATATGATACAAATAACTAAATGAAGAAACTGCATCTTGAAACTCATTACAAACCTAAGAGAGAATGAAGCAATTCATGAATTCCTACTTAACCAGGGATAAAACTGATCTAAATTTGCGGGAAGAAAAAGAGCCACCCTGAGTCCAGTCTTTTAATTGAAACAGTCTTTTAATTGAAACAGAGGGGATTAATAACAGCACAGAAGTAGGAAAAGCCATGTTTCGAAGTTGTATCTAACCAATATGCATAGTTCACCTCTGCAGGTATGAACATGTGCATGAAGGTATCCTTCTGCAAGAATATTGCATAAATCATGCTACATAGTAGGTCACAGGCAAATGCTTCTTTAAATGGTGCCTTGAAAATCAAGGATCCTCTCATGGTACATTATAGGCACAATTATACGAAGCTACAGGCATATATTAAGTTTGCAAGGATGCATGTATGGTCCTAGATAACTTGATAATCTTTAAGAATGGAAACTGAAGAGATTATATAAAGTACTTACAAAATTCAGCTCATAATCTTTGATGTGAAGAAAGGGGAATATTAGAGTCCAATAAAGAATATCAGTAATAGATACCGCCCCCGCAGTCATCTGCTCATCGGAAGTATGCATTAGAAGCTGTGATGAACTTGCCAAAGAATTATAGGTGCAACCAAATATAACGTTATCTAGCTTTTTAGTATTAGCATTAAAATAAGATACCTGGAACAAAATTTGAAACAGGTATCCGCACAAGCCAGCAATTTGCGAACAATGTTGTTCTCCTGGACATTCCAATCTATTAGGTAATTTGACTCCAGTTTCATTTACTCCACGGGCAAGAGGCACATATAACCCTTGCTCCACAACCTCTGATACAAGGTAGTCGCTGCAGCTATTTGTTTTGTGACGCTGTAAACATCCGTTGATAGAAAGCAACAAACCAAACTACACAAGAAACTAAAAAGCCTAAGATGGGAAGAGATAAATTTATAGAATTGGATAGTACTGTGCCTTGAAGAGAGACTGCAACCACATCACAAATTTCAAGACAGTAACTTCATGGAAATATTCCATATATATGCTAGGAAAAATGTAATGAATGAACCATACCCCAAAATAGATGGTGACTAAAGTAAAAGTCCACCTGCATGGAGCCAAAAGAACATGTAATTTCAAAACAATTTCCATGAGTTAATCAAAAGTACTCAACACCAAAGATTCCGGGGAACAGATACTTCATACATTAAGAAACTATGCATTTTTGTCAACAAAAAGTGTCACCAAAGAAGGCCTTAACTCACATTTGAGTTTGTATCAATTTGTCAACAACCATAAATTTATCAGTAATCCAGAAGATGAAGATGACTTACTGCGTATAGTATAAAAATAATTCACCACCATGAGCGGCAACATCAAAACTGAGGGCAACTAAAAGCAGACAGAATGCTGTCACTCGATAAACCACCAAATAAACTGGGTGGATTTCTTTTAGACATGGCTTCCAAGCTTCACCATAATGCAAAATCCGCGGTCTCTCCTGCTGTGTATCCCCTCTTTCAGATTCAGAATTGTCTGAATGTTCATATTTTCGTATCAGAAATGACGCAATGAACATAGATGCCAAGACCCATATTGCACATAGCAAGAATCGCCAATTAAACCAATAGCTTGGGGTAGTAGTATCTTCACTCACCAGCAGCCGCATTCTGTTACACCTAAGATACACTTTATGTTACCTTCACAATGTTGCAGTGATTTGATTCACAAAATGCTAGCTAGTTACATAAACATGCTCCACAAGAATTACTTTTTACTTGTATGCATCTTGAACAAGTTGCAGAAACAACCAGAGACTTCCACATAAATTTTACAAGAGATGACAGAAAATAACACGTGTTTTCTTTCTTTCTGAGTGGAAAATCAAGATTCGAGTAAAACAATGAAATTAGTCTTTTGTGTTGTCTTCGCACGTATGTGTATAATAATCGCACTGCACAATGCATAGAATCTGACTGATAGAACAGATACAAATAGAAATCAAATAGAAAGAATTACAGAAGAGGAAGAAAACAATGTAACTCCAGAAATAAATATGTCTCTTCACAAAACAAGTTATAATGCTAAAAGATTACACATATAAAAGTGATGCATGAACGACCAACGACTAAACATAAAAGCTCCCATAGATCTATTCCAATCTGATTGAAAATAATTGAACTTAAGCACGTTCATACTAACACGTGCTCGACTTCCGTGTCCACAGATTATTAAACCAAAGCAACGATCTCCCCTCAATTCTACACGAATTTCCGTTGTTCATTTCGAGATACATGTCACATACGTAAATCAACTGCACTTTCAAGTTAAGCCTAAATCAGCCTCTATACATTCATATTACTCAAACACACATAATAAACGCATTTGGCACGCACTCAATTTAAAGCGAATCACATTATTGAAACATTAATGAAGAAAAAAGGTACCCACTACTTACAGAAATGAAATGAGGAGAAATCGGATTGAAAAGCACAGCGAACTTGCTAAAAAGAGAAGTGCGAGCGCGAGAGCATTTTTTGCCCTGGGAAGGAGGAGGAATTGGATTTGATTACACAAAGGCGTGCTTGGTTTGACCACTTCGTAGTATTCTATTGTATTTTCATGGTCTGGACCTACAATTTGAGAGGTACAAATAGAAACTAGAAACTCCACGGAGATCGCATTCGTTAAAACTTCGAACTCATAGAGCTCGTTTTACATGTTTTGAAAAATTAAAAGTTGTTTCTCACTTTATTTTTTAACATATTTTAATAATTTTTTAAAAAAGCTTATCTAAGTAGAAAATTATTTTAGAAAAAGTTGATTTAAAGTTGCTTTCTCAATAAGCTTTTCTACAATAAGTAAAAATTCTATAAGATGGATAGTAATTCGTCCTTGTCATGATCCGAGATCTAATTCAAGTGTTAAAAGCAAAAATTTAAGTGAAAAAATGCATGCCAAGTATGACTTTTTAAAAGTTCATCTTTGAGACTAATAAGTTTACTTTGAATTTGTTTAGACGACTTATTGAAAATGCTTTCAAAGTCGGCCTAAGCTGAAAGTTGTTTAACAAAAAGCAGAATGGAAGCTATTCTGAAAGGACGACCCTTGATACATTCACTTAGAAAGTATGGTGAAAGATTGAATTTTACTTAATTTAGAGTTAATTTTATTTTGAAATGACCATTTGGGTTTTAGGAATTAATTGAAAGTTAAATTTACATTAGTTCCTGTTTGACGGCCATTTTTTTTAATAAAAAATATTATTTTGAATAGTGAATTTTTGAAAAATGTGTAATAAAGAAGTAAAGAAAAGTTTTGAATTTACGTTTAGAATATTCTGCACGTCATTTTGATGGCCATTATTAAAAAAAAAGTTTTAAATAGTGAGTTTTTTGAAAAATGAGTGGTTAAAAAGTAGAAAAAAATTTAAATATACGTGCAAAATATTTTATTGTGTATATATATGGTTCAAAATGAATATGAAAATTA